TTTCATATCTGGCAACCTCCGTTCCTTGATATGGTCATTAATTTGTTTCCTGCGTCGTTGCTCAGAAATTGTCTCAATTTTCGTACCCTGGGGTGTTCTGCAATTCTTTCGTACGTCGCCTTCAGCTCCGCAGTTCCAGCACTTTAGAACCAGTTTCTTTTCACTTCTGTTCCGTCTCAAGCCACTGACTTGTCTGGTAAAATCATCTGCTTTATATTCCGTACCCTGGGGCGTTCTGCAATTCCGTCTTAGGTGACCTTCACTACCACATCTCCAACACCTTGGAGCCACTTTCTTCTCGCTCCTACTTCGTATCAAAGCTTCGACTTGTCTGGATAAATCATCTAAACGAGCCATCAATTGGTCCTCTGGGTCGTGGACTCGCACAGCTCTGACTGGGTAGCGATCTCTAAGAGTTGCTTGCTGGGCTGCCTCCAATTTCATGGCGTAAACAGAGCGCTTTTTTTATGTCCTTTACATTTGCCATTCGAAGAGCTTTTTGTATTTCAGGATCCCGGATGCCGTCGATGAAATATTGCAGCGACAGGATTTCTCTTGTTTCTGTCGGGCACTCCGAAAAGGCGTGATGTGACAGCCTTTCAACATCCGTGGCGAGCTCCTGAAGTGTTTCGGTGGGCCTCTGCTGACGGGATTTTAGTTGAAGCCTGCTGTAGTCTTTCAAACACTTTTCACCAAAGCGCAGTTCCAATGCGCCGGATAGAGCTTCAAAGTCTAGTCTCTGGTTTTCGGGAAGCGTCTGCAGGATATCCGCTGCGTCTGCTCTCAGAGAAGCGGCGAGATGACAGGCCTTAGCTTGGGAATCCCATCCATTTGCATCCGCAACGATAGAAAATTGTGTCCTGTACACCTGCCAGGAGGTCTTCCCATCATATGTAGATAGTTTCAGAACGGAACGAGCAGGCATCGATAAAAATTTGAAACCTTCAGAATTGTTTCCTACCGTCGCTATGCACTTCTTTAGGCTGTCAACTTCTTTGGCGACGGCAGCAGAAAACCCTATCATCAGTTTGTTGTTCGACGGCAGAAACTCTCTCTTCTATATGTTCTTTTACAGAAGAAATTCTTTCTTCTACTTGTTCTTTTACCGAAGAAACTCTTTCTTCTATTTGTCCAACTTTAGTTTCAACCGCGTCTATTCTTCGCCTTCCATAGCCTCAAATTTATTTTCTATTACGCAGGTAATTTCTCTTTTCATTTCGTCCTGACCTGCTTTCATCTCATTTTAAGAGATTTCATCTCTTCCTAACGGATTCCTGGCCCAATTTCATTTCTCCTTTAACGGATTCCTGGCCCAACTTCATTGTTCCTGTGCCGTTTTCATTTCTTCCTGAGGGATTCCTGGCCCAATTTCATTTCTTCTTTAAAAGATGTTTGTCCAGCTTCCATCTTTTCTTGGAAAGCACCAAAAGCAGTAATGAGCTGTCTCAATTGTTCTTCCATCCCCTCTTGTTATTGGCATTCAAAATCCCACTTCTGACACCAAAAATTGTTGCGTGCGTACGGGTTCGTTATGAATGAATGCACAACCGATGAAAATAACAAAAATTTATTATATCAAAAAAATGCTAATTCCAAATATCATCGATACAATACTCAATATTAGTTACATTAAAGTCATAGAACGTATTCAAACACTAAGAACGTAATCGCGATCGCTATATCACAGACAGACAGACAAAGTAGACAGATGTCTTTTGTTGCACCCGCTAAGTCTTTCTGCACCGATGGGCGAAAAATCAAGCATAGGTGCGAAGGAAAGGTATATAGAAAGGGGGGCAATTTCGTATTTCAGAGGAGAGTAAAAAGGAACTTCGTATATTTTTATACGAGTTCGAAAGGCCAGGAAAAAGATGGGACAAATAAAGTAAAAAATAAATGGCCCAAAAGTAATGGAGAGGAAAAAAAATTTATTTATAATTAAAAAAAAAAGGAGCAAGCTATAGAGAAAGAAAAGGAAAGAGAAGTAAGAGAATTTTAGTTATAAAAAATACATTAAACTAAGTAACATCATCTATTGCGGTTTCCAACATATTTATATACTCAGAAAACACCATCAGATAAAATCATAAATCCAAAACAAGGCGAGAACATATCAGCAAAAATAAATAAGTAAATAAATTAGTTTTTTTTTATTATTTTTTATTTTAATATTAATTATTTTTTTAAAAAAATAAGCATTTTATTTATTTATTAAGTTAATGGTCATAATTTATTATATGTGTACTATTTTATCAATTTGAGGCACACTGTATTAATATATGCTTTTAATTTAAATAGATAGGAAATATAGATTAAAGGAGCAAAAACTACAACTCTATACATTCATTGAGGCCCGAGATCGTGTTTTTCCCTCTCGAGAAATTCCTCAAAGGGGCCCCAATGGGTAGTGCTAACACTACTGATAAGGGCTACTGATAAGGATAGCGTCCCTACGAGATGGTAACCAAAAAAGAACCACATGATTTAAAGCAATTACTAAGTATTTAATGCCAGAACATAATAAAATGAGCATAATAATAATAATGATCATAATAAATAAATGAATTTAAAGGTACTTTAGTGACAGATATTTGATTTAGCTTAGAGAAAAGAAGTTCTACTTATCTGAACGCTCCGTCTTAGTGCTGCAAAAGATTGCAAGGAAGACAAGACCCCCCAGGTACAGGAGAACTCCCGGCCTTGAGAACGAGACAATGCAGAGGATATTCGCGAAAATTTTCTTAAATAAATGAAGATTTTCCGGAAAACACCTTTGAAAATTCAGGAGCTCTTCCAAGATGCCTCCATCGTACTGTCAGGCCTCCCACATCCACTATCTATTACACTTATTAGGTTATAAAATATTTAAGTAATAAACTCCCTTTTTAAATAAAATAAATAACTTCTTAACAGTCCCAGATCGAGTAAGTAGTTATGTCCATTTGAAAAATTTAATGATACTATACCTGACACAACACTTCTGGTAGGTTTTGAAGGACTTACAAGGCACATCTAAATTTGTAGTGCTCTTGCTATTCTCAGGTATCTCGGGTTCATCTATAACTTCATTCTCACAGTTGTTTTGTATTGCAAACTCTTTCCTGATTAGTTTCCTTTAAGAAGGTCTCTTCTGTTCCTTTCTACAATTCTTTCCATCATATTCTTATAATCCTATATGAACATGGTCTTTCTGCTTCTTCTATAATTTTCCCTCTTTCATTTAGTTTTTTTCCCTTTCTCTTTTATGTAAACAGGATCTCCTATTTTCAGTGGCTTTAACGGTCTTGCATTCCTATCATAATAACTTTTTTGTAAGGTTTGTCTCTTCAGTAAATGTTGTTTATGGTCGTTTAGCTTGGACGAAATTCTCTTTTATAGGCAACAACCCATTTACTTTTCTTCCAAACATCAATTCTGAAGGTGACTTAATTTCATCTGAAATAGGTTAGTTACGATATTCCAGTAATACTAAATATGGATCCTTGTTGTCAACTACAGCTTTTTCTAACATTCGCGTAACAGTTTGAATATGTCTTTCAATCATTCCATTAGATTGTGGGTAATTTGGACTTGAAGTTCTGGTTTCAAAATTCCATCTTCTTGCAATGTCTTTAAATTTCCTGCAATTATATTGTGGACCATTATCCGAATATGCTATTTTCGGAATACTTGTCTTGCAAAAATTTATTTCAATTGCTTTATCACTGCTACACTTGACAAATCTTCCAAATGCCCAATTTCAACATATTTGCTAAAATAATCTATAACCATTAGATAAGCCCTTCCTTGAAAGTAAAAGAGATCTGTTCCCAATACTTCCCATGGACCATTAAGTATTTCTTTAGATATCATTGGTTCTTTAGTATTAGCTTTTTGTAAACTTAAACATGCTTGACAATTCAGTACCAAATCTTCAATTTCTTTCGACATTCCTGGCCAATATAATATTTCTCTTACTTTGATCTTGCATTTTACTACTCCTAAATTACCATAATGAATTCTTCTTAACATATATTTTCGTAAACTTCTTGGTACAACAACACAGGAATTTTTAAATATTAATCCATTTGCTTCTGATAATTCTTCTCTGAAGTTAAAATATGGTTTTGTCAGTTCTGGAACCATACATTTTTCGTCTGGCCAACCAGTTTTAATTAATTTTCTTAAAACTTGTAGTTCTGCATCTTTTTCTGTTTCCAGATGAAAAACTTCCATTTTACCTTTAGACATTGGTATACATTCTACAACCAATCCAACATGAGCTTCTATGTCTCCTTCAAAGAAATCAGATCGTTTATCAGTGAATGATCTTGATAATGCATCTGCTATAAAACGTTCTTTTCCTGGTTTGTATTTTGTCTCAAACTGATATGGCTGTAATCTTATACGCATTCTTCGTAATCTTACAGGGCATTTATTTAATGGCTTTTTGAAAACTGATTCCAGTGGTTTATGGTCATTTCCACAGTAATATATTTTCCAAATATATACTGGTGAAATTTCTCATACGCAAATACAATAGCTAAAGTTTCCTTTTCAATTTGAGCATAATTCTTCTGTGTATCTGTTAATGCCTTAGATGCATTTGCTACTGGTAAATTATTCTGCAGTAAGACTGCTTCTAGTCCTTCTTGGGATGCATCTACAGATAAAACTACTGGCCTTGTTTTTTCAACAAATCTCTTAAACATGATGTCAATTCTGATAGATTAGGTATAAATCTAGAAACATATGTAATCATTCCTAGGAAAGTTTTTAATTCTTTCACATTTTTTGGTGGTTTTTATATCTATAATAGCCTTAATTATGTCTTCATCTGGTTTTAAACCATCTTTAGAAAATATATGTCCCATATATTTCACTTCATTCAGCCCAAATTTACATTTATTTAAATTAAATTTAACATTTAAAAAAAAATTGTGCTATCCCATTCAAAACAAAAGTCAGAAGTTCAGCCTAGATAAAAATAAATGCTTTATCCAAACACTGGCAAATAAGTAGAGATGAAGTGAAGCTAACTTATTTACGTTTTTCATGGCCGTGGTTTAGGTCGCAGTGGTTAATATAGGTTTATATTGCGTCGAATTCGCTGGTGTCACTAGGTAAACGGGGAAGTAATAAACTCGTTTTATTGTAATATTTAGCTGTATTAAGAGAATTAATTTGTACCCATATTTTGCATGTGTTGTAGATAATTTTTATTATAAGTGGCTGTTCTATGGGACATTCCGTATTTTCAAAGAACTAATTATTATCAACTCGTCTCTTTTAAATTTTTATTGCTTTGTATTTCATGAAATAGTGCAGTACCTTCCGCTTTTTAAACTCACTGGTTAATAAACTCAGCCGCTTATTACGTTCAAATTTTCAGGAATCAAAACAAATACATACTACTCAATAAAAAAAGCCGCCGTTTATTAAACTCATCTCCGCCGCTTATAATACTCAGATTGGCAAAAGACCGATTCTTTAGTATCGAAATATTCTACTTAAAATACCCACCTAAGCTCTCCATACTTCATTCAACAGAGTCCATTTTGTAATCCATCCAACATTAGTGTCTCTTGTGTAAACACAACTTCTAACATTGAGCCTTTAGATCAAGGTATTATAGAAGCTTTCAATTGTCATTATCTTAAAGGTATGCAAAAAAAAATTACGAAAAAAACTGGACTTTTTGAAAATGAAAGAGATAAGTATGTCGATATCTCTGCTAGAGGCCATGCATGTTATAGTCTTACTATTACTATGCCATGCATGTTATAGTCTTACTATTAATTAAAAATTGTTTTTAAAATGTGGCTTTTATGTAGAAGAAGCGTTAGAGGAATTGCAAATTATAGGTGATGTTCCAGACATCAGTTAAGATAAGTTATGAAGAATCGTTTATAGAATATATGTCAGTTCATAACAATATTGAGATAAAGACTGTAAATATTGACTGCAGAAACTGACAGCGAAAGTCGTTCAGAGAAACATCCCAGCATCAATTGAGTCTGGAAACGCACAGTAAATTCTAAGAAAAATTTTTTAACTGTGAAGTGCTGATCATAAAAACTAGCAGTTCAATGAAATCGAGAATACTACTGTATAACTATTAAAAAAGTGAATTTCAAAATTTCAAAAGTACTTTAATTTTTAGCATTAAATTTTTATTATTATTTTAGGGTTAATTATTGAATTAGTTGCCAGGTACCACTTTACTCCAAAGTTTAAAATGGCTATCATGATTTATAATGTACAAATCCACTGTATAAACTCTAAATAAATTGGATATGATTGAACGGAAGTGATTTTAATAAGTGGCGGCTTCTGTATATCTTAAAAGCTTATGCTAAATGAGTTAATTAAATAATTATAATTGCCATAGGTGTAAAAGACCTTTTTAAATGTATATGGTTTTGTGCATAGTATTTATTAATGTATGTTGATGCAACAATGGATAGCAAAAGAAACTCATCTTTCAGTATTTTCATATTAACCACATGCTAGAAATTAATTGCTGATAAGCCCTAGAAAGATAAATGACCTTTAATCGTTTCAGAAATGTATATATGTAATAATACACATACATATGTTTGTACATATATATACATGCATGCATGAGCACATCCACCCATCCATACATGCATACATACATATGTTTCTGAATCCAGTCCCAATAACAGAAGATTACCTTTAATTTTCATTTTTTTACATTTATTCATTCGAAATAACCCTAGGTAAAATTGGTCGATGATGTGAGAAATAAGATATATAATTTCTCTTTATTGATCGATGAAGAGTTTATTGTAGTTACAGATGTTCCTATTATTATGATGGGAGATTTTAATGTAGACATCAGACAAAATAAAAGGCATTTGATTTTATGAAACATTTTAATCTCAGTATGGTGCCAAGTAACTATTCAAATACCACTTGGCAGATCATTTATATATTTAACATTTACTAGGAATATAACTGCTGGCATCTTAAATATTTTCACTAAAAGTATCCACAAGTGGCAATTGCAAATTGACAGGTTTTATTTTATTACATGAAGCTGATGCTCATTTCTCCACAACAAAGTATTTTACAGAGTGTCAATGACTTTTATTTAGTTTTCACATTGTATCATCTATTACATCCTTTTTGCAAACATTCCTTTTGTTCTTCTTTTGTTACACATTGTGATATCATTTATTTTGTTCTGCTGCTCTTTGCCTCGAGCACCTTGATGAAATTCATTATTATTTTTGGTGAAATAAAATAAAATAAAATACAGCAGTGCATGTAGCTTTGAAGTCACCAAATTTTTGATGTTTTTGACACTATTATTTATTATTAATTATTTTTGCCCAAATATACTGACTGTATATCAGATGACTTTGCCACTTGATGAAGTAAAATAAAACACAGTGACTGTGTACCAAATGACCTTGCCACTCATACGCAGTCGCGCATGTGCACAGAGCTTTGACGTGGCCAAAATTTCACTATTTTTGATGCATTGCAATGCATATACCCTTTGTCCAATGTAAAAATTTTTGTGTGTTTGTTAATATGCTCTTTCATTTATATTGTGATTTATTTAGATTGATGGTAACATTTGGTAGTTTCAAAGATATTTCGCACACACCTTAAATACCATCTTAATCTTTGCTTTCTCATCAGAAGAGCATAATCCTATATTAAAAGTATCAGAGTGCATGTAAAAAACTGGCTCGAAGGAAGCCTTGGGACATATGCAACAGCTTTACGTTTCATTTATTCTTGGTGTGACAAATTAATACCAATCTATTTCTACCAAAAGCAATTTTGAATGACAGATAAAATGGTTGCTGAGTGGAATAATTATCTATGGGAGATATATGTCCTTTAAATGATGGGAGTAGTAGGTGTTGTATTGTGGAGGTGATGAAAGCATGTTCAGGAGACATAAAAATAATGCTGAAAGAATACTCCCTTCCCATATGTGAGACACTTATCATGAAACAAGAATTTCTTGTCGTGGTTCCCAATGGTAGTCCTATGGTAATGATAAATAAAATTTTTAAAAAAAATTAAATTGACAGTTTTTTCAAATTTCTGAAGGGATATAAGATGGAAGAAGTAGAACTTTCTGGTTATATTCATTGCCAAATCAACCACAGATACAATTTCATTGATTCTTAAACTGGCATGCACGCACAGAATCTAGTACTCATCTGGGAAAAGGGAGAATGGTAAAATAAAAAACATCAAGGAATATATTGCTATTACCTTGAATCTTATTTTACAGAGTTTATAAGGAGAGGAAAAAAAGCCTCAAGTGATGATGATGATGATATGTTTGATGCCATACTAACCATTCTAAGGGCTGTTGTTAAACATTTTCCTCCGAAATAAAACTTCAAACTTGATATTAGCCAAATTCATACCATAAATACCTGTTTTTTCTGTTTTATGTAAACACTATAATAATTCATCTTATCTTTTATAGGTATGATAATATGCATTGCTCTCAACCAAGGTTGTCAGAAGTCTTAGGAAACCAGGAAAAAAATTGCAGCTAGTAAAGCTTTTGAAGTTAATTGTGGTTTTTGAAAAGTATGTTACAAAACTGATTTCATGAGATTGTTTTATTATTATTTTTAATTTTATTTAACTATAAAAGTGTCATGATAGGCTTTTATCATTTTAGAAAAATTAAACATCTTATTAAATTCTTAATCATTCAGATCTATCATGATTAAAGACAGCCTAAGAGCACCTAATACTTGCAGTTGTGATGTGTTTCTAACTGATAAAGGAATCCAAGTGTGGACAAATATTTGCGAAAACAAAACAAAACAAAAAAATTGAATTTAGAGTTGAAATGATATTTCTTTATTTTAAAAAATTTTAATCGTGCATCCTCTGAATTTTATATTCAGTAACCAATATATATCAATCACAATATGATAAAATCTCAAAAAAAATTATGCATTTTTTACTTAATTGTTCCTATTGTTGTAGTGATAAGAATGCAGGAAGTTATCTCTTCTCTGTCAGAAAATTCAGGATTTTGTTATTGCATTAGTGGCTTGCCATAGTCCACAGGTGCTGTGATACTACTTTTCAATTGTTTTCCAGCAGTGTCCTTTAATGAACAGGGCAGAGGTTCAAAAATATTAATGGATACATAGATACTACATCTGCAAATAAGTTGATTAGCGTATTTGACAGCATATAAGATGCACTTTTTTTTCCTAAATTTGGTCTCAAAATAGTTACCTGCATCTTATACGTGAAGGACACAGGTTAACTTTCAATACTGAATGCTATTTTTACCCCGGATAAAGGTCTAGACACATATAACTTTTTCTACATCTGCCATAATTATTTTGTGCATGCATGAAATATCTGTCGCCAAAAAGTGCCAAAGCTCGAAGCTGATGTCGAAGTTCGAACAGGTTCGACGGTCACATTACGTCTATGGAGCCTTTCCTTCTTTACATAGACTTTCTTTGACTCAGCCGACACACGTGTCTGTATCGATGCTACTCTGTATAAACGTGTCGGCATCGGTGCTACTCTATGTAAACATATCGGTATTGGTACTACTCTGTATAAGCGTGTCGGTATCGGTGCTTAAAACTATTTGTTTAAAAAAAAAATACCTTGGAAAATATCATTACAGGAAACAAGAGATTAAGCTATACAATTCAGTATAAACTAGGAGTGTTAAACTACGCCAAAGTGCATGGAAACAGCAGCAGCAAGGCATTTCGGTCCACCACCTACCGAAAAAATGACATGTACTTGGCGACTGCAAGAAGATCAACTGAAAACTGCTAAAAAGCAAAAATGTAACCTTCGATGCCCAGCTCCATCTTGGCTTGAACTCGAAACTGCCGTAAAAATGTGGGTGATAGATAAGAGGAAATCTGGGATAAGTGTTTCAACTAAAATGATAATCAATGAGGCCAAAGGATTTGCAGAAAAACATGGGAATCAGAACTTTTTAGGGTCTGAGGGCTGGTGCTACAGGTTCATGAAAAGGCAAGGCTTATCAATGCGCACAAAAACAACTATTGCACAGAAAATGCCAGCAGATTATGAAGAAAAAATATTAGCGTTTCATAGGTTTGTTATAAATGTATGCAAGAAAACTTCTTTTTTGAGCTCGGTCAAATAGGAAATGTGAATGAAATTCCACTCACATTTGATTACCATCCAACAAGACTGTGAGTATTAAAGTGTCTAAATCAATAACCATAAAAACCACAGGTCATGAAAAAACCCGATATACGGTAGTTCTAACATGTTGTGCTGACGGCACAAAACTACCGCCGTTTTTCATATTCAAAAGAAAAACTCATCTAGAAGAAAAACTTCCAACGGGTGTAATTGTTCATGTTCATCCAAAAGGCTGGATGGACGAAGCTGGAATGAAACTGTGGTTACAGAATGTATGGGTGAGGCGACCTGGTGGACTCTTAAGAAAACCCTCTCTTTTGGTTTTGGATCAGTTTAGCACCCATAGAACTGAAACCATAAAGAATAAAGCAAGAGAATTAAAAACTCAGGTAGCTGTCATTCCTGGTGGACTGACTAGCCAATTGTAGCCTTTAGATGTATCGGTGAATAAGGCAATTAAAAAAAAGTGCGAGAACAATGGAACAAGTGGATAGAGAGAGCCACATCACACCCTCAGGCAGAATGAAGCGGTTGTCTATTTCACAAGTATGGGAGTGGTAAAAAGATCTTGGGAGGACATAAAGGCTGAAGTAATTGTTAAGTCCTTTAAGAAATGTGGAATCAGTAATGCTCTTGACGGAACAGAAGACGACGAATTATTCAAAGAAGGTGATACTAGCGATGACGGAAACAGTAGTGATGACAATATACTCGTTTTCGATGATAGTGAAAAGGATTTTTATGGTTTTGAAAGTGATTAAAGTCTAATTTCGTGATAGGCAACGTTTTCCTTGAATCTGTGTGTTTTTTTTTTTTTTTTTTTTTTTTTTTTGTTGTTGTTGTTGTTGTTTTTGCTTTATTTTGTATTATGTTTGATTACTTGCCATTTATTCATTATTGAAATTTACATATCATGTTCAAAATAGCTTGCCATTTGTTAATTTTCCTTAATAAAAATATGTTTGGTAATTGCATTCAATGATTGTTTATTTGGCTTTTACGAAACATGAGAACTAAAAGAAACCACAGTTTAAGTTATTTGTGGTACCGCGCGAGATTGCGGACTAATGAAACATTTTTTCCTTGTGTGTGGCCTTCTTATATGCCGTCAAATACTGTAATTAAGTGCAAACTTCTGCAAACAAGTTTTATAATTAAACTGCAAAATCTCTTATAATCTGTTGGTTGGTGATATGATCTGTCTGCGGTAAGTTGGCATAAGAAATTTAAGAGAGTTATAAACTCTTATAGTGTCTTTAAAATGTAAACATAACTATAATTTGCAATTATAATTTTTATAGTAATTTACATAAAAATAGAGGCAAAGACATTTTTTATAAGAACTTTTTGTATTGCAATGTATATAGTAGTATAATGCATTATTTTTTTATTGTATGCCTTGCAGTCCACAATCTAAACCCACCAAAGAGTTTAATCCAGTTTACCAATTATTGTGTGAAATTTTATAAATTTCCATGATTTAAAAATGAAATCTTTAGGAGTAAGAAATTGCACAGGTGCAATATGTGGGGAAAGTGCAGAATCGCCCACTGCTTGGCACATTTTTCCAAATCTATAAGTTGGCTATGCTCTCGCATCTTATCTCCTGGATTTGCAACCCCTCCAGAAGATGCTAGGCAAGGCACGACATTTACAATGGCGAACAGGTAAAATAAATACAAAATAAAAGTTAAAGCAAAATTTTGAAAACTGTAAATCTTTTAAAAACAACATAATAATTTTAAAATACAAACATGGTTAAGAAAACATAGTAAGCTTCAAAAACTTAAAATCGTTACAAAACCCTGAAGAATTAAAATACATTCACCTATAAAAAAATTGGGGAAAGTGCAGAATCACCCACTGCTTGACGCGTTTTTAAGAATTGAACAAACTCGGTATCCATGTACACATCAACCTATTTTCACTTTAAAAAAATCCCAGAATTGCACAAAAATAGCATTGCACTCTCCCTTGACTTTATCCATGTACACATCAACCTATTTTCACTTAAAAAAAATCCCTGAATTGCACAAAAATGGCATTGTGCACTCCCTTGACTTTATCCATGTATACATCGACCTATTTTCAATTTTAAAAAAATCCCAGAATTGCACAAAAATAGCATTGCCCACTCTCTTGACTTTATCCAAGTACACATCGACCTATTTTTACTTTAAAAGTCAAAGAAAATTGACAAGCATTCAATTCTTCTTATTCTTGTAAAAAAACACCAAACAAATAAGTAGGAAATTTTTAAAACTGGAAATCCCTTCAAGAGAACCTAATAACTTTAAAAACTAAAATCATTTCAAAAACGTAGTAAGTTTAAAGAACATAAAATTATTACAAAACCCTGAAAAATTAATCTTTCACTTCCAAAAAATTTTTAAATATGAAAATCCAGTCCTTACAAAAACATAATTTTAAAAACTAAAAATCATTTCCAAACCATAGTAAGTTTCAAATACTTAAAATCGTTACAAAACACTGAAAAATTAAAATACTTTCACTTACCTGAAAAGGAGTAATCTACTTCGCTCAGCCGATGAACGAAAAGAAATGAATTCTCAAAATGTTCTCGAATTATTGTTTAAAATAACTGCTCCTCTACCATCTATTATCGTCTACACCAATCAGAAATTCTAAATTTTAAAATACATACTGAGCATGCGCAAAAATGCTCCGAATTTCACGCTCAAAAGAATTTCTCAATTTAAAATACATATTGCACATGAGCGAAAATGCTCTGAAATTTGCCTTCCAGAATGGCAAAATCGACTTGGATACCGTATTTGGCACACTTATCAATCTCGTAAAAAGCGCCAAACACAATGCGCCAATTAAGTGAGCGATTCTGTACTTTACCCCAATGTGTAATACATTTTCTCATTTCAAAAAAAGTTGCAACCAAAAATTTGATGGTTTTCATCAAATAGTCTTAAATTTTCTTTCGGTGTCGCTTCAGCTGTGAGAAGGTATCCAAATGTAGAAATTTAAATTTAATATTACATAAGTAATTTAATTTTGTATTACATGCATACATTTAAATTTTAGTTTAATATGTGAAATTTAATATGCACTTGCTTAGCTACCAACTCCAAGTACCAACTACTCGCACTTGCAACCTACCAGTTTTACTGGAAAGCTTTTAGTCACATCTCTGTCTCCCAGTTTTTAATTTACAGCCTTTATTTAGGAAAGTGTTTTTCACAAATAAATGAAATTTGTTGAATGAATGAAACTTAAAATGTGCGAATGAAATTCCAAACTTTGAAATAGCGAAAAATTATATACCACTATTGAGAAGAAATATATACCACTATTAGGTGTGGTATTTGTTAAACATTGTTTGGCAATGTTTAACAAAAAATGTCCGAAAAGGCGAAATCAACAAGTCTTCAGTAGCGTATCATAGTTGGAAATGT